CCAGGCACGGTGGCTCACGCCTATAATACTAGCACTTTGGGAGGCCGAGGCAGGTGGATCACGAGGTCAAGAGTTCAAGACCAGCCTGGCCCAGATGGTGAAACCCTATCTCTACTAAAAATACAAAACTTAGCTGGGCATGGTGGTGGCGGGAACCTGTAATCCCAGCTACTCGGGAGGCTGAGGCAGAGAACTGCTTGAACCCAGGAGGTAGAGGCTGCAGTGAGCCAAGATCGCGCCACTACACTCCAACCTGGGCGACAGAGTGAGACTCTGTCTCAAAAACAAAAACAAAAAACAAAACAAACAAAAAAACTCCCGGGTTCCTTGGGCCACGCAGAGCCTGCCTCTCTGCTTGAGGAACCCACGTGAGTGTCCAGTTCAGAGGGTCCCAAACCTGCCCACACATCAGCATCACAAGAGAAGTTGTGGAATCCAGGCTTCTAGGCCCTGGGGCTAGGGGTCTGAGATGGGCCCAGGAGTCTGGATTTTTCCTACCTTTCCCAGGTGATTTCTGATATCAAGCCACATTTGGGAATCACTGGTCCAGTCCATCCCCTTGGTCCCGACACTAGGCTGCAATGCAGGGGTCTGTCTGGGAGGCGGTTCACAAGAGAACTGAAGACAATCCCTCCAACAAGAAACCCTGGCATGACGTCCTAACATCCCCGAGAAAACAGCCTCGGTAAACCCAGCCTGCACCCCGTTCCCTTGACCTGTTGGCAACACACATTCCTTCCCCTAAAGAGGCCTCCAGTCTACCTCCTCCTGGAAGCCCTCCTTCATCTCATCCCATGTGGTCACTCCTTTGCACATGCAGTCTTGGTTTGCCCAGTAGTTGACGTATTGGTACAAACCTGCTCCTTCTCCCTCTGCCAGGCCAGAGCCACATCTTTATTTCCTTGGTCTCCCTCTCCCTCACCGTGGCTGGGACTGGGCCTGACCAAGACACAGTGTACATTCTGGCCCTAAGCAGCAATGTGAGGCGTGACACCGTGGCTCACATCTGTAATCCCAGCACTTTGGGAAGCTGAGGCAGGCAGATCA